AGCCAGCGTTTGCTTGTCGGCCGCTGGCCCCCTGCCTATATAAGGTGTTGTCCAAGGTAGTTGAAAAGCATGGAAAGAGTGGTGGTGGAAGACCCTTTGTCCAGGGGTGGACACACACACACAATATATACATGTTCTTCCACTCCTTCAGATTTCAATGCGCTGTTTATGTCCCACATCGGCCCACGCTGTTTACGCATTCCTCCCCGAAGAAAAAAAACAAAGTGGTCCCGAAGGAATCATGATGAGGTCCATGTTGATCATGATGTGTCTTTATATAACATGGGTGGTGGGCTGAAGAGGCTTGGCTCTGGCCCACGCATTCTGGGTCACTCTCTAGGCTACTTGCTTGCCCACTGGGTCACCAGGTCATCAGGTATGCAGATCCCCTCAGTTCCCAAAATCAAGGTCGACCTAGTTCCACCTGTTGGATTCTGGAAGGGAAACCAGTTTCCAACAAAAACTGGTGCAGGATATCATAGTGAATCCACATTTCCTGGCTGTTCCTGTTTTCCTGTCCATTCCATGGCCATCCGGAGGCCCTGTGCGCGAAGGGGCCTGTGAAGGGGTCGGGCGCGGCCATTCCTTGCGCGGTGGAGTCGGCGGTCGGCGGGCCGAGTCTGGTCCCGAAGGGCGCGGTGACTTCGGCCTGGTATACGAATTGGTCGAGTTTGACCTCAAATGCCTTCGGATGGACCAGAAACCAAGGGCGTAAGGTACTATCACAACATGATAGTAGCATACCCCCACATGGGAGTACCCATAAAATACCCATGGATACGTTGGCATCACCCAAATAGTGGTACTACCCAGTGACCCTCTGATTCACATGATTTACATGACAATGGACCTGTGGGACCCTAAAATACACCATGTTCCTCCATACCAAAAAGGAGGAAGTCCACGTACCCATGTGAGCAACTCGCAGTGTACATATGCAGAAACATGCAGAAATGCTCCGGACTGCCGTCGATTCTGTTGCTTTTTCATCGGTTTCTGGCGCCGGTATACACCGGGACCGCGTGGTATACCGCCCCGAAAACGGTACAAGCGACGGCGGCACGAAGGGCATGTGCAGCCGGCGAAGCAGATTAAGACATGACACTTGTTGGAACATCCACTTAAGTGGGAGTTTGGTTGGAAGTACGGGCTGTGGCCTGGGGAACACCTCCAACTGTCAACGTCTGGTTGTTAGAGTTGGATTTGCATGAGTGCTTGATTCAATCTGTTTTCATGGCGCTTGGAGTCTAGAATCCAGCATATGTGTAAAGAACATCCTGAAATCTAGCACATTTGCAAGTCTATCCGTAATCTAGACGTAAATGTCTAGAATCTAGAAGGTGTTATGGATACCATTTGCAAACATTGACGTCTCAACCATCCTGGGATCGAAACAACGAGGGTTTCCACCCTCCGCTTCGTCCAACGCCCCACGGTGGTGTCCAACTGGGCCCCCCCGCCGACGCCGATGCCACGCATGGCGGAAGGGCTCATGGCCTCTGAAGAGCGCTCTCGATGCTGAAGACTAGGTGATGGTCTGGATCCGAAACAGGGTGGGCCGAGGTGAGGCATTTCAACAGTTTCTCTTTAAACAAAGGGGGCCAGGGAAGTCTCTCAGTGTTTGACATGCATGTTCTGACCTAAAGGCCTCAACCTTCCATTCTCTGACATCCTCAACATCCCTCCATGTACAACTCATGAGACCCATTATATAAACGGCACATGGTCGCATTGGCCCCTTGCTCGCAATCTCATGCCCTGTCACTGCTGTCACCAACAGCCACCTGTCACCAACAGTCACCCACCAACAGTCTTTCTCCGTGCGGTCGATCTGTCCCTAGGGCTCCAACCATCTCCTGAGAAGGTGGCTAGGGTAGGTTTGGGGGGTCTAACCACCTTCTGAGGACATATATATGCCGATCAATTGACCCCCAGTCACCCCTGGCCGTGCCACTCGGCAGTCCTATGGCTGGCAGTCCCAAACAGGTCGTGTCTGGATCACCGGGTTCTCGACTCGACCCTGGTGACTCGACTCAACCTGCCTCCGCCAAGTAGAAGCCAGTGCTGAGCAGGCCGAAGTGGTCCCAACCCTGACGGCCGGGCA